AAAAAAAAAAAAAAAAAAAAGAGGACAGCTCCAGGTAATTGGAGCCATATAGGAATGGGGACCGGTGTGTCTAGATCTTTAGAGTTCAGATATTTTAAATTTATTTCTGTCTTTTTTCTTCTTCTCCCCACCCCCCCTTTTTAAAAAAAAATATTTATTCATGCATTTATTTTAATTTGACCAGAGAGAGATACAGAGAGAGGGAAAATAAGAAAGCAAGCCACCAGATTCAGGACTCGAACCCTTGTCGGCCGTGTGGGAGTGTCCAGCGCCTTAACCACTATGCCACTTGCTGGTCCGTCTCTTTTTCTTTTATTGGAGTTCATTGTTTCTTTTAAAACCAACATTCTGAATTTTGCTTTATTTAGTTATTTATTTAATTTTAGAGATTTTTGCTATTGGGTGCATATGCTTGCCAGAAAGATAGAGACAGACAGACAGAAAGTGAGAAATCACTCCCCAGGGGGGATGGCCACACTGTAATCCCTTCTTCTCCATTCTCTTCCCAGGGTTTTGGGCATATATGCACATGCACCTGGTGTGAATTTTAAGTCACCGATTCTGGGACTTGAACCGTGGTTAACTATGTAGGAGTCCAGCGACATAACCATGATGCCATCTGCTGGTCCCCATTTTGGATTTTGTATGAAGTCTCTCGGTTTCAAAATCTTGGCACTGGGCCAGCAGAAGGTATGGTGGTTAAGGCACTGGATTCCCACGTAGCCGACCACGGTTTGAGTCGTGGACCTAGCAAGCTGAAAATCACAGTAAACCCGGGGCCAGCAGGTGGCGTAGTGACTAAGGCACTGGACTCCCACATGGTCAAGAGCAGTTCGAGTCCTGAACCCGGGCTTGAAATTCATGCCAGGTGTGTGTGTGTGTTTGTGTGTGCCCCAAATCCCCAAAATGGAGGACAAGGGTTTGCAGTGTGGCCATCCCCCTGGGTGGTGATTTCTCACTTTTCCTCTCACTGTCTCTGTCTCTTTTTCTCTCTGGCAAACACATGTGGTGTATAGCAAAAATCTCTCTCTCTAAAACACTGGAAAATCACAACAAATAAAAAGATAAATAAATCAATGTTAAAAAAAAAAAATATGGGCACTAGGACCAGCAGTTAGCGTATTGGCTATGTTGCTGGACTCCCATGTAGTTGACTGCAGTTTGAGTCCCAGACCCGGTGGCTTAAAAATCATGGCGCATGTGCGTGCGTGCCCAAGATCCCGAGAGGAGAATGGAGGAGAAGGGATTGCGGCGTGGCCATCCGCCCCCCACCCCCGGGGGTGATTTCTCACTTTCTGTCTCTCTTCTCTTCTCTGTCTTTCTGGCGAGCGCACATGCCCTAGAGACATTTTTTCTTTTTAAACATACACACACACACACACACACACACACAAAACAAACGACAGCAGATGAATTCTTATGTGGTCACAGAAACACAGACCCGGGCTCACTTTGCGGGAAGACCTGCGCCCTACTGGCCCTCGGCAGGGTGCCGGCCCGCGGCCTGGAGCCCGGGTTACGTGAGGACCTTTGATTTATGCCACGTCTTCTCCACTTACTGCGCACAGTGGGGGAAACTGAGGCCCAGAGCCTGAGCATCCCCGCCAAGGGTTGTGGACTCAAACTGAGGCCTGCAGCCCTCCCCCTCCCGCGGGGGCCTGTCCTCACCCTCCCCCCAGCTGAGCAGCGTCTGTGGGATATTTACGCCCCACTTTGCTGGCTCTCACCTGGGTGTTAAGTGGGGCAGCACCATGACAGTGACAGGGAGAAGGGACAGCATGAGGGAGGCCAGCTTCCTGGACAGCCCGGCCTAGGGGATGCCAATATAAATGACACCCAGATCCCCAGTTCTCAGTCCCCCGGGGGGGCAGGGAGCAGGGATTGTCTGAGACCTACGAGGGTGGGTGGGGCCAGAGGGACCCCGGGGTACCCTTGTCTCTGCTCCCCTGACACCTGCTCCTCCCTGCCAGTAAGGAGGAAGGACTGAGCTGATGTCCATGGCTCAAATGACCCTGGGACGCAGCTGGGGTGGTGGCTTTGGGGGCAGCTCAGGTGACGGGAAGGGGCAGAGGCCTATCTCTGGGCCACTCCAGGTACAGCACCTGCAGGACTCCGCGTCAAGGCTGCACGCCCCAGGAAGCTGGCACACGCCCAGGGGAAGTGTCGTCTCATGTGTGAAGCAGCTCCTAAATAAACACAGGAGCATGTGCGCAGGCTAAATATGGCCATGAGTGACAGGGGTGGGCGGGGAGCTGGCTCCGAGGGAGCACCGTGCAGCCAGCATGGAGGTGCGCTCCCTGACCTGAGTCCCCTCTGCTGGGGCTCAGGGGACAGCTCCCCTGTAGGTAGGCCTGGCCCAGGACTCAGGGAGAGCCCCAGACTCCACAGTTTATAGGGGCTGGAGCCCTGGGGTGTGGGGTGCATGCAGGGTAGACTGAAGAGCCTGTAGAACTCAAGTCATGATGCAGCTTCAGTTTGCTCATCTGGAAAATGGGGGTTGTACCAGCCTGTGGCATGGTGGTTAAGGCGGCTGGATCTCACATGGTCTACCCTGTGGTTCGAGTCCCTGGTCCAGTGGCTTTATTTGTTTATTTATTTATTTATTTATTTATTATTTTTCTCACATGACTTCTGCCAGAGAAAGCAGAGAGAGAGGGAGAGGGAGAAAGCAAGCTGCCAGGCCTGGGACTTGAACCATGGTCAGCCACATGGGAATTCCAGTGCCTTAACCACCATGCCACCTGCTGGCCCCTGGATTTTTTTAATTAATTAATTAATTCATTTATTTAATTTGACCAGAGAGAACCCCAGTGGCTTTATTTATTTTTTTTAAGAGAAATTTTTGCTATATGTGCTTGCTGGAGAGACAGAGAAAGAGAAAGAGAGATAGAAAGTAAGAAATTATCTCCCGGGGGTTGGCCATGCCGCCATCCCTTCTCCTCCATTCCCTTCTTGGAATTTTGGGCATGCAACCTGGCACGAGTTTTAGGTCTCCAGGTCCAGGACTTGAACTGTGGTCGGCCATGTGGGAGTCCAGCCCTTAACTGCCACTCCACCTGCTGGCCCCAGTCCTGCACCTGGTGGCTTAAGACACACACCAGGTGCGTGTGTGTGAGCGTGCCCAAAATCCTGAGAGGAGGAAGAGGTGGAGAAGGGTTTGTGGCATGGCCATGCCCTGTGGGGGGTGTGTGTTCTCATTTTCTCTGTATTTCTCTGTCTTTCTCCTGGCAAGTGTGGGTGCCCTCTAGCAAGTTAAAAAGAAAGAGGGACCAGCAGTTAGCATAATGACTATGTCGCTGGATTCCCACGTAGTCGACCGCGGTTCGCGTCCCGGACCCAGTGTCTTAAACTCATGCCGGGCGCGTGTGCGTGCGTGTCCAAGATCCCGAGAGGAGAATGGAGAAGAATGGAGAGAATGGAGAAGAATGACCATCCCCCCTCCCCCCCGGGGAGTGATTTCTCACTTTCTGTCTCTCTGTCTTTCTGGTGTATGTGCCCTATAGCAAAAACCTCTCAAAAAAAAAAAAAAAAAAAAAAAAAAAGAAAAGGGAGGAAAGAAGAAAGGAAGTTGGGATAATAGCGTCTGTCGTGGAGTTGTTTGTGGGTTGTTGTGTGCGAGTCCAGGCCTCACTCCTGGTGCTCAGAGCTGCTCCTGGACCCCGGTATTAAATGGCAGGAGAGACTTCTGCCTGCCTCCACGTCCTGGCTCTGCCATTTGGTGCTGTGTGGCACTGGGCAAGTGATCTTCCCTCTCTGGGCCTCAGTTGCCTCCTCTATAAAATGGGACTGTCATCCCTCCTAAGGTGGGTTTTAAATAAGCCAGTGCATGGAGAAGGATCGGGCCAGTGGCTATTATAATCACGGATCGTAGGTCTGGGTTGGAATCCTGTCCCCTCTGGCCATTCGCTGTGTGACCTTGGGCAAGTCACTTGACATCTCTGTACTTCTGCTTGTTCATCTGTAAAATGGGGACCATGTCGGTGCCTCCCTGATGGGACTGCGCCCTTAGCACAGTGCCCGTCACAAAGCAGACGCGGGATGTCTGACTCCAGTAATCTGATCTCCAGGTGGAAAACCAGATCTAGAGAGGACGATGAGCCTCCTTGCCAGGCCAGTACGGCCTCCTGACCCATCTCTAGCCTCCTTCTCATTGCACACCGAGAGCTAGGCTTCCCTGCCTCCATTTCCCCAGCTGGGAGGTGGGTTTGGGACCCTCTCACCTGCTGCTCCTCCCGGCAGGACTTGAAGTACCTGGCCATCAGCGGCTTCCTCTTCCTGCGATTCTTTGCGCCCGCCATCCTCACCCCGAAGCTGTTTGACCTCCGGGACCAGCATGCGGACCCTCAGACCAGCCGCTCCCTGTTGCTCCTTGCCAAGGTACTGGCAGTGGGGTTCCCCCTTCCTGGGTGCTCTTAGCTGGGAAAAAAGCCAGATGAAAACAGAGCCAGACCCACAGAAGACCCAAAGGGACCAGAGTCCATGTCTGAACCGCCATCAGCTGCCACCCTGTCTGTGAAGGCGCTCGCTGTGCTCTGAGGAGCCTCTTCAGAAAGAAAACCCACCCTTCCGGAGGGAAAGTGGGAAGCAGGCTAGCAGTCATGTGCACTTTAGTATGAATTAGACCATCCTCAGCAAAGCAGCAACAGTGAGAGGTTCTGATGGACGCTTGCGTGAGCATGAGAGGATGGGGCGGCCCTGGACGGAGCTGGGTTCTGGACTTGGGAGGAAACAGGTTCAGGGGACTGGGCGTAGCTTCCAA